TGACTTCTTACCTTGGCTATTGCATAAGCTCTACTCAAGACAAATCAGAGTCTCTGAGGTAGGGTTCAAGCATTACTATTTTTCAAAGCACCTAGGTGATTTCAATGGGCAGCTAATTGAAAATTACTGACATAAGGAAATTAGAGCTTGCAGAGAACTCCTTTCTTTTATGGAGTTAACCAAGAGGTCCCTGTTGAGTCCTGCCACACCGCACATAGAGGGAGGAAGTTAGTGGGTGTGAGTTGATAGCACTAACATGGAAAACATCAGGTAGTTTATCTCCTTTTACACCTTGTACACACTCCATTGTCTGTGGGCCTTGGAGCTTTATGTCAAGCGAAGACAGAAGATGGGACAGGCCTTGGAGTGCTTGTAGCAGAAGCAGGACTCCCAACTTCAGCTGACTGGAGGAAATCCACTTTCAGGGTTGTCAGCCTAGCCATCATCCCCATGCAGAAAACTCCCCAAGTCAAACCAGCCCACAAAACCAGAACAGAACCACCATGCAATTGTGCAGTCACACACTCAGTAACTCTGGGCATGTCTTGTTCCCCCACTGGAGAGTTCTCTTCGAAGGGCTTTCCTCTGGCAGAGCATCCGTTTTTCTTCTGTTGCCAATAAAAATCCCCGGGGCTGTTCTTTCTCCTTCGCTTCCTTCTATTGCTTCTGACAGAGTTTGCCAGTGAGCTGAGGTCAGGATTTCCTTTTTACAAACAACCTGCTTTCAGTCAGTGGGGCCAAAGGTTTCCTAAATTACAAACCCTTTCATTTCTTCTGCCACAAGTTATCCTGTCAGTTTGTATAATTGCACAGAATAGAGAGAAATGGAAACATTCTGAGACACAGAGAGAAGTGCTTTTACCAACTCTATCCTTTTGGGTTGTCAAAAAACTCTCCTAAATGGGATGGACAGGACTATTCCAGTGGAATCTTTCAGAGCTGCATGTTGTATGAGTAAGTTCCAGTGTCTGGAAGGAAATTTCTCACAGGTCTTAAATGAACACACAATGTCTGTGGCATCATCTCCACATTCTGTTAAGCAAATGACCTCCTTTATAGTCATTTGAATTGGGAAACACCCATGTCAGATTCAAGTATTTTTTAAAAACAAATTTTGCAAGTTATTGCTAAAAGTTGACATTTGTAAATACCAATTAGAAGATAAATTTTAAGTCAATCTCTGAAAAGATGACATGGAATTGAGGGTGCTTGCTAAGGTTTTTAAAAAAAGACATCATTAGGAAATTGTACTAACTGGGTGGACAGGACACTGAATATGCCTTAAAAACCGAGAGGGGCTCTCTAAGTTCACCCTGGTATGCAGTGATAGAGCAGGGAGGCAAAGCCAATGTTTGCTGCCCTTGGAGCTCTTGATCTTTCCATGATTCTGTGTTGTATCCAAGAGTTGGTTGGGGTCGTGACTCTGCCTTATTTGGCTGTGACCCCTGGCAAAGCATTTAACCCAAGTTTTGTAATCTCTAAATTAAAAGGGGCTCAACTAAGCACTATTTAGACAGAACATTTTAAGTCTCCTAGAGAATCACTGCCACAGTGAAAGTTTCCAGGCTGTGTGTGTTAATGCAGGAGCCTGAGCGAAATTTCTGTTCCTATTGCACTAAGCCTGAAATTTACTCTGAGATGAAGGACAGGTAAAGCCTGTGCCCCTCTCCTCTTCTGGTCACTTCCACCCTCACTCAGTGGACTACTCATGTAGTCCATGGCTTTCCTTTTCTTCTCTCCTTCCCTTGCCACATTCTGTCCAATCAAGGCTTCTTTCATATTCACCTTCTCTCCCCTCTCCTCAGACCAACCCTAGCCTTCAGATCTTGGTTTAGAGGTCAGTTCCTGGAGGGAAGCGTTCCCCTACCTGCCTATGCTGCCTATGCCAGCCCCACTTCACATCCATCCCTACTGCTCACAGAAGCCTGTTTTATCATTGTAACTGATCCCTTTTTAAATTACCATCTGAATGCTTGAGGTCAGGGACAGGACCGGTTCTTTTCACCTTGTTTTTTTGTTTTTTTTCTTTTTTTGGTTTTGGTTTTGGGTTTTTTTTTTTTTTTTTTTTTTTACTAAACCAGAATAAGGCAATGTCTTGATAAATGGTCTGTGCCATCAAGGACCTGGCTCTGCCCCATTAAGCTAGTAACTTGTTGTCCTACCTCTTTTCTTGCTCTTTGACATCCCATTCTCCACCCAGCAGCCAGGGTCATTATGTCAGAGTGTGTCAGATTTGTTTAAACCCTCAATGGTCTCCCATTCCATTTAGAATAATATCCAAATCCCTTGCCAACACTTCAAGGCTTCAAGGTCTCCCTCCTTTTCCAAAGTCATCTCTTCTTGGACCCATGGGCATGATTTTTCACACCTAGAACACAATAAATAGAAGCCTTCTTCTCTGAGGACCTTTGCCTGTATTCTGTGCCCCTGATCTTCACATGCTTCTTATTTCTCAGCAGTTGATTTCAGTTCATACATGATGGTTCTGTCCATCCTTTCCAAGGAAACTTATGCCCTGTCACTTATATTCCCTGTCCCAATTTTCCAGCATGAGTGTTTCGAGTATTTCATTCATTCTTTCATGTCTTGTATATTCCTACCTATGTTAGTGTAAAACCCCATCCTCAGGGGCAGGGACCTTCCTTAGCACCTAGGACAATGCCTCCCATAGTGGGGGCTCAGAGAATCTTTATGGAAGGCAACAGTATGAACTCCAATGAGACTATAGACATTAAGTGGGAGAAGGTCAGGAGAGGGGACTAATGCTGGGTGCCATGATGGGAAAGAAGGCTCCAAAGAAGAATCCTGCACTGAGAGTGGAGGATGTCATTGATGGAAATAGGAATGCTCTGAAAACAGGTGAGGCAGGGATGCTTATAGGTGGTTTGGTCCATGAAAGAGTCCAGTTAATGTGCACTGAAGGTTTGTTCATAGCAGTAATGAGAGATTATGGTGGGAAGAAAGTAGATACTATACTTGGAAACTTGGGAATGCCAAGTAGAAAAATTTGGGCTCTAATCAGTGGTCAAAGGGAAACCCTTTACATATATTAGTCAGGTAGTATCATGTTAGAAGTGTTGCTTTAAAAAATTATCTTTTGAGGATATAACCTCCATTTTGCCCATTTTCCTTATTTTCTTTACCTGAGACTTAAAAATCCTTCCACTCCCCATCCTTGCCCGTCTCTGAAGACTTTATCCAAACTTTTTTACTCTCAGGCTGTCCAAACATGCTCACGCACTTCATCACTCAAGCCACTTGCCTGGGTGTGTACCTGTGAAAAACGAACATCGTGGTCCTGATAAATAAGGCCTATAACCACATGTTTGATTTTTCATGTGTTTGTGTGTATGAATGTTGTTTCTAAGGTTGAATCCCAAGAGGAAGCAAGTTGTACTGTTTTATAGCTCCCTGTCAGTGACTAATCTGGCCAAATTTTAGAGGTAAGTGTTGTGGATGTTCTTTATAGATAGAACTGCTTTACTTTGCTATCCCTATGGTATTTGAGTGGCTAAATCGATGCTCTGTCATCCAAGATTCTTGATGCTGAATTCTGTTCTATGGTAAATTTGAGTGAGGGTCCAGTTTATATAGTTTTAAAGGAAGTGTAGAGCCCTTCTGTTCATCTGTTCTTTCAGTGATCAAAGAAACAGATGTTACCCTTCTGGTTTAGTCTCCTCAAGGACTGATAAAGCCATTATTACTACAATTACTTCATACCACTTCCTTTTGTTGGACCAGAAGCATGCTAATGCAACCAAGATCCTATTTCTCACAAACGAGAGATAAGAAAATGTATTCAAGGAGATTACAGTACTTCACAAATCAATTTTATTAATTTAAACACAAAATTAATGAAGAAAAATTCTGTACACAATTGTGGACACAACACACCTTTATACAGTAAAGCCAGGATAAACTTTGCTTTCCAATCTGCAGAGTACAAAAACATAAAATGAAAAGGCTAAAAAATTGTCTTCTGTTTGCTTCAAGCAAAAAAAGAAAAAAAATACCCAAATTCGATTTTTAAGCAATTTGGAAAACTCACAACTAATTTTAGCAGCAACATGAAACTTCAGGAAAAGATAAGAGCAGCTCTTTAGCTACTTTGGGTTAAAGCTGGTGTTTTTTTTTTTTTCTCAATGTAATATTAAAATTCATCCAAAAAGTAATTTCATAACAATGGAAGGTTTTAGATGAAAACTAGTGCCCAAACGCATCACTTTTAGAGAGACTGTCTTATGGCATAACAAAGGTGACGATTTTTATTCCCCAGATTTATGCTTTATAGATAATGCAGGTGAGGAATAACCTTGGTGATGATTCTTGGGCCATGTCCACTGCCTGCAATGAACTTTCCAGGGAGGGTGGGATTGAGGGAAAGGTGTGGAGGAAAACAGAGGGAACTATCAAAAAGTTTTGCTCATTTCCAGATAGGTGATAATGCCTTCCTTTATCTAAGCAAGAAAATACAGACCCTATAATCTGAGCACACAAAACTTGGCTAGTCTCCAATTCATGAATCATTTTATTAATAAAATATATCTAATAATCTACATTCTTTCTGTGGGAAGAAGCATTTGCATAATCATTTTTTTCAAGTAGTTACATATAATACATTAGTGTTGAAACTGCAAAAGTGAGGTTGTAAGAGGACTGTTTTTTGTTTTTTTTTTTTTTTTTCAGATTATTTAAGACACTGCTGTATTTTACCAAGGTCCTCCTAACAGCATTAAAAAAAGAAGAAAAAACTGATGGGAAAAATAATTTGGAAAACAAATTTCTATTAACATCCATGCTTTTGGTCTTGACAACATTATCTAAAAACAAAAAAACAAAAAAAAACCTCCATTATCTACATATTTATACCCAGTACTTCGATAAGGCACTGCACAGGACTTTCTGCACACATGGCCTCATACTTCACTATCAAGGCATCGCTACCTTTCAATATCATTTTCTAAACAATATGTAAAAGAATCATCCATTATTACAAATTTACACCCAAAATTCTCTGTACATGATTGTCTCAGTGATGTACATATTATACGTTTAAATTAGACATACTTTAAACTACTTTGCAATGTGCTAAGATTCAAAGTACTTGCTGTGTCATGAGGCAAAGGCCTTTAATCGCTTATTATGATGCTACTGTCTCTTCAGTTACTGGATGTCAAAAAAGTCTGGTTGAGTGAATTGTATGGTGCTGGAATCATACCTCAATTAAAGCTGTTTTTAAAAAGTCTGTTCATAAATAAGTAGAGATGTACAGATTACCCTGGGTATGAGACACCAAAAAAGTAAACTTTCTTTCCAAGAAGATCCCCTCCCTGGTATTCGGGAAACACATTTCAGTCTTTGTTGTGCAATCAAGTTTGCTGTATTGGAAAAGCTAATGTTTATGTCACATTGAAGATGTGAACAATGGAAGCGTCTGCAGGTCCTTTCTTCACAGGTTTGAACCATGTAGTTACTGTGGCAAAGACACATCACACCATACTAGAACATTCTCATGGCTTCTTCTCATGGGATTCACAGTACTAGAGTCAACAGCTGGTCTGAAGAGATTGATGTGGTCCTTCATTTACCACAAGGGCAGAGGTGAAGACCGCCGGCAGCTGTGCGTCCACATGGTGAAATCGCGACATTGGGTACTCCAGCGCTGACACAGGCCTCAGGCCTGCTGGATTTGTTCCTGGTCACAGGCAGTTGTGCGGTTCCAAAGTGCTAGGTGGCTGTTACAGGTACTCCAGTTCCAAGGCATGATGGAGGGCCATGAGGTCCGAGTGACTGGAGATCCTCCAGAAGGGCATGGCGTGCTGTGAAAGGGGCAGACACACGGTGAGGACAGGCCATGCTCCCAGCACGAAGCCTTAACCCTGCTTTTGAAATTCGCTACAACGCTCATCCCTTTTTCTCAGCATTGTGAGAACTGCCAGGGAAGAGCTTAACATCACATCTGTTTGAAACAAAAATTCAAACTTAATCCTCCCCGAAGACTACTGGACCGCATTTTAAAATATAATCTGGAGTCTGCTTCTTTTAAGAAAGTGATGGATATCTCTGAAGTCAATCTGTACTGTGACTTGAATGCCAATTCCAAACTGTACATAAAACACAACAGCTATGAAGGAAACTGTCAAACACGGTTGCCTTTCAAAATATGGATCCAGTGGATTTACAATGCTATAAGTTTAAGCAGTTTTCCTTATATGGTAGCATTTTACATTTTTCAAAACTTAATTTTGCTCATGTAAGAAGCAGCTTTTTTTCATTTACTTCCATTAGGCATTCTTCACATTGACCTTATAATGGCTTTACCATATGGGAAAACTTTAAATGACAATTGAACGGTTTTTCTAGTAGTTGTTTTAAAAAAATCAGCCTAAAAATCTAGTTTAAATGATGAGACTCTTTGTAAAACACCTGAATCAGTCAGCGATAAGAAAAACAGGAAAAGAAGAGAGATGACCTCATCCCTGAAGGATGAAAACATGATTATAAACTCTTACTGCTCAAAGCTCTACAGTAAGTACTTACGCATCAGCAAAATCTTTTTTCAAATAAAGGAAAGGTAATCCTTGTTTTTCAGAAGACAACATTCTACTTAGCCCATAGAAAAACTGCTTTTTAAAACAACAATAAAAGAAATAGTGTGAAGGCCTGACTATACTTTGCAATTACGGTGCAAAAGGATTTACAATCAGACGAAAAGAAGAATTTGTCATGGAAGCAAGCAGAGGAACATGAGAGTTTTGGGTGGGGGGGCTTATCTGTACCTAAAAGTGGAAGCCAGTAACTCTTTTGATGTAGATCACAGAACTGTTGTATTCTGAGAATGCGAACTATTAAGTTATTAACAATGCCTTTGTCTCAAGCAATCTACTAAAAGCATATAGCACAGTCCACTATCAGTTGACCTTTCTGGACTCCCTATCTTTCAATAGTCCAGCATTGAGTCCCAGAAGACCTCTTTCCAAAGTTTTAGGATGGATCTACTTGTCAACTTTTGACTAGAAAAACAGACTGGACTCCTTTGCATTCATTCACTCCTTTTCCGCATCTGCAGGGATGGTGCAGTCTGTGGGTGAGATGTGGAAACGCACAACAGTCACGAACCTTTATCTGTGTGTCACAAAAGGACTAGGAGGAGCCAGTTCCTCTGGCCTGGGAAGCTGGGGGAAATTCCTGGTAAGAGGAGGTAACGGTGAAGCTATGTTATGAAAGGATGACCATTCAGAAGAGCACCTGAAGGCTGCATGTGTTCGGGGCAGAGAAGGAAAGGGAATTCCATTGTTAAGATACTGGCCATATCTGTGAGAAAGACATGATTGGCTGCAGGAGCCACATGGAGCAGGGCCTACAAGGAGGTCATTGATGATAATGATAGCGGTAATTTAGGGAGTATTTTGTCAGGCACTATCCTAAGCACTTTATATAGAGTCTCAGATTCAAGCCTCTCCATAACTTCAGGGATAGATACGTATTACCATCATGGTGTCACTGAAGAAAAAACTGAGTCTTGGAGGAGGAGCGGAGAGGTTTGAATAACAGCTGGTATGGAGTGAACACTTGATTCACATCAGGCCAGGTCTGAAGCTTAAGCCCAGAGGCTGTAATGCCTCCTGACTCTTCTCAATGGGTTTTTAATCCAGCAGTATAAATTATCAGCACTATAGTATATAGCTTGAAACACAAACACTCCCTTCCCATGTTCTGGTGAGTGAGGGACACTGAGAAATTATAGGTCAGATCTGAAAAATGTTAACACAGAAAGCTTTTTTTTTGTTATTAGAATAAAAGTCTGTGTACTGTAAAATATTTGTATAATGTAGAACTTGTTTTATAGGGAAAAGCAAATCATTTCTAATCCTACTATCCAGATAACCTCCATAAATCTTTTTCTATATCTTTTATATGTGCACGCTCATATTTGAAATTGTGTATATGAATAGTATGTACCATTTAGCAACTTGCTCATTTTTACTAAATTTCAAGTCCATGTTTGACACATCATTTTTAAGGAAAATTATTCATTATTTTAAAAGTTTTCAAGTGTTCAACTATATACATGCATGCATATATATATATATATATATATATATATATATATATAGCATTCTTATATATTTAACCATCTATTTTAATATCCTTTTATTTTTAATTGTGTATTTTTCTTATTTGCTTTATTTTCTCTAATGTGTCAGAGATTTGTTATCCTTCCCCAAAGCTGTTTCTCATGAACAACTGAACAAAAGTTGCTGTACAGTCATTCTGTTGCTCTGTTATTTCAGGATATGGCAGAGAATGCTTAAGGCTCTTCAGATAGCTATCCAGAAACTAACAGGACAGCTACCTTCATAAATATACATCAAAATATATCACTTGTAAGAATGGATGCCTTTTTTTTTTTTTTTTTTTTTTACAAAGTAAGTTCAGCCAAATTCTTTTGCATGTTGATTATCTGAAGTTAGATAGGTTTCCCATTGACAACAAAACACATTTGAGAGCCATTGGTGTACTCAGCCATATGTACTGTAGAATGGCAGAGAAATTGGAAAGGGAACTGAAAAAGATCCAACTAATTTCTTGGGTACATGTTAAACATTAGGGATTTAATTCCGTAGTAAACAAAGTCCTACAATGGTTATGTGTCTTATCTTCACAGTTCTGGGAGTTGATTGAGCACAGGTAATAGAAATTGTTTTAAACCATCCTCAAAACAGGTTATGGAAAGGCGAGGTTATTCACAAAGAGCCCTGGAGTGGCTTGTTCACAGAAATAGTAATAGCTTCTTCCTCCTATAGAGTATTATTAAGAACCACTGATCAAGTAGCACCCTGAAACAAATTCAAGTGATGAAATATGTCTGTGGTATATTACAGACACAACTCATTACAAGACAGTGATGATGGGGTCATTCATTTGAGCCAAAGTGCAAAAAGCTCCACAGTAATACTGGCAAACCTTAGGTATATATGAAAGGGAAGAGGTACTCTCTGGAAGCATCCCTATACAAGGACAGCAACTTCATCCTCAGTACTATTTCATAACATGAAGCCTAATGATCTCTGTTAGAATCAGCAGTTTCAGTCTCACAAAACTCACTGGGCTTCTACTTTAAGAAAAGCGTATTTAATATTAAGTGAGTCTTTATAAGCAGACTGAATCCAGGGGAGAGGAAACTCAAACTCATGTTCACAAATAATTAGAACTAATATTACAAATGCTTTCCCTAATTCACCACAAACTGATGCAAAGAGTTTATGAATGTACAAGAGCTTCCCAGCACAACTGGGTGCAAGAAAACAATTTTTTTCCATGTCAGTATTAAAACCTGGAACACATATTTCTTATATGAAGTCAGAGAGCTAAGGTGGCAAAAGAAAAGCAGGTGCCAGGATGAGGAGAACTAGGTTATGCTCTCAACTCTGACATTAGATATAGGATTTTGAATTATGAGAGTTTTCCTGAGCCCCAGTTTATTTATCTGTAACATGAAGGTTTAGGGGAAATGACTCAAGGTTGCTTCTAGGTTTAATAAAGTCTTTGACTTGAATATTGTATCTACTACAGATGTATAAAATAATCTGCATGACCTATGACACCACTGACAAGAACCAGCAGGCAAGAAAAAAGAGGCATTAGAATTGAAAAGGACAAAAAACTATTTGCAGATGACATGATTTTATATAGAAAACCCTAAAGACTCCATACAAAAGAAATGGTAGCTAACCAACAAATTCAGTAAAGTTGCAGGATACAAAATTAACATACAAAAATCCATAGTATTTCTATGCACTAATACCAAATGACCTGTAAAAAATAAGTTAGGAATTAATTTAACCAAGGAAAATAGCTACACTAAAAAACAGAAGTCATGAATGAAAGAAACTGAATATATAACAAAAGGAAAGGTATCTCATGTTCATGGATTAGAAGAATTAATACTGCTTAAATGTCCATGATACCCAAAGCCACCCACAGATTCAGTGCAATCCCTACCATGATTTCAGTGGCATTTTTTAGAGAAGTAGAAAAAACAAATGTAAAATTTATATGGAATTGCAAATAACCCCAAATGGACAGAGCAATCCTGAGAAAGAAAGTGGGAAACATCACATTTCCTGATTTCAAGGTATATTTCTAGCATAAAAACAGACACATAGATTAATGGAACAGAATCAACCACCCAGAAATAAAACACATGTATATGGTCACATAATATTTGACAATGGAGCCAAGAATACTCAGTGGAGAAAAGGCAAGGTCTCTTCAATAAATGGTCCTGAGAAAATCGGCTGCAAACATTTAAAGACTTAAATGTAAGACCAGAAATCAGAAAACTCCTAGAAAAAAACATCAAAAAATTCCTTGACATGGATCTTGATAATGATTTTTTTTTTTGGACATGACACCTAAAGCATAAGCAAAAAAACAAGTGGATTGCATTGAAAATATACTTCTGCATAGCAAAAGAAATGGTCAACAAAATGGAAAGACTAAAGAATGAAATCTAAAGAATGGGGAAAAATAATATTCGTAAACCATTTATTGGATAAGGAATTAATGTCGAAAATATATAACAAACCCATACAAATCAGTAGTGAAACAACAAATAACCTGATTAAAAATGGGCAGGGAGCCTAAATAAACATTTCTCCAAAGAAGATATACAGACAGCCAAAAGATACATGAAAAGATGTTCAACATCACTAATCTGGGAATTGCAAAACCACAATCTCATGTGTGTGAGGACAGCCATTATCGAAAGGACAAGAAGTAAAGTGCTGGTGAGACTGTGGAGAAAAGGGAACCC